ATTAAAGGAATGATGATTAAAAACAATTTGGAACATGCCCCTAACTTAAACTAGAAAAATACAGAGGGTTATCAGGTGTTAGCAAGACAGCTGATTATACAATGCTTGAGGAAAACAGTAGGCAGTGAGTTTTAGGATTCTGTTGGAAATATGACAATGAAAGCCACCAAAACTAAGCAAACAAAAATGAGGCAATTCTCAAAGTAGCATCATTCCCAAGAAACAAAAACCAATTATACTGTATAGGGATTATAGTAACAATACACACAAAACCACAGTGAGAAAAACATTGTGATCTAATTGAAGATGGCAAAAGGGAAGTAAGGCTGGTATCAAGAGTTCTATATCCTCATCTAGCAGAATACAGTTTGTATACAGGAACTAATCATGAATCAAGCAGTAGCAATGCTATACAAGACTAACATTTTGAAATACTGGGATAAGTACTTGCTGAAATACTTTAAAAAACAAACTGTCTAAAATGTATTTGGAAGTTAGACAATGAATAAGCATGAAAAAATCAAGTTGGGGTTTTTAGACTATTCCATGGGGTGCCAAAAGTAAAAACTACTATGCCTTGAAAAAGTTGCAGCCTGTGCATTCCTTGGAGGAAACAGCAGTGAAACTCCATCTCAACATACTTTGGGCATGTTATTAGGAAAGGCCAATCCTAGAAAAAGGACATTAAGTTTGGAAAAGGTGATAGAGAACTCTTGATACCAGCCTTACTTCCCTTTTGCCATCTTCAATTAGATCATAGTGTTTTTCTCACTGTGGTTTTATGTGTATTATGACTATATTCCTTATACAGTATAATTGGTTTTGGTTTCTTGGGAATGATGCTACTTTAGTTAAAGAGGGGAAGAAGACCTTCAATAAGATGGACTGACATAGTGACTGTACTGGTGGGTTTGAGTGTGTAGAGATGAGGATGGCACAGGACAGGAGGGTTCAGAGCCACTGTTCATAGGTTCTCTTCAGGTCTTAGTCAACTTGATAGCATTTAACCATGATCATAAGGGACAGAGAAGAACCACACCACAGTCCCAAGACTATGATCTTTTTTTTTTTTAAGTAAATGTTTATTTTATACTGGCTTGGTTACAAAGTTCATATACACTGTTTTTCCATACTGGATCTTTACCATTTCCTTTACCCACCCCTCCCTCTGCCCATCAAACTGTGCAACCCTATGATTAAACTCCCCCACCCCTTTGTTCCTACCTTTGCCCCCTTGGATCTTCATATCCTTTTTACAAATTAACTATTTCTACAATAATGGTCTTATATAGTATTTGTAACTATGGGACTGAGTTAGTTCGCTTTGCATAATGTGCTCCAGTTTCTCCCAAGTTAGGTAGTGATTTACAAAATCATTGTTCCTGCATGCTGTCTGTGTATTCCATCATGTGAATGTACCACAATTTCTCAATCCATTTGATTGTGGAAGGACATTTGGGCTGTTTCCATTATCTTGAGATGGTGAATAAGGCTGCTATGAACACTGGAGTACAAATCTTCATTTGTATCTCAGTTCTAATTTTTTCAGGGTAATATTCCAGGCCGTCAAATAGCTGGTTTGCATGGAATTTCTATGTTCAGCTTTTGCAGGAAATGCCAAACTGCCTTCCAGAGTGGTTGCACCATTTTACAATCCTACCAACAGTATATAAGAGTTCCTATCTCTCCACATCCTCTCCAGCATTTATTACTTGCTGTCCTATTAAACTTTGCCACTGCTACTGGGGTGAGATGATATCACATTGTTGTTTTGATCTGCATCTCTCTTATTAACTAAGGCTGTGATCCTTACAGAAGACTGTCACAGCTTTCTCTTTTTAAAGACTGCAGTGCATTACTGGCTCCGTAAGTTCCTTGAGAGGGCTGAGGACTCAAGGAGCCCTGAATTGAGAGATCCCTGTTAGGCTAAACATTAGTACAGTACAAGACCATTAAAATATTTGCAGGAAACGAAGATTCTAATCTTAGAAAATTACCAACACTTGCATGTTCTCTGGCAATCTGTGAATATTTTATTCTTTATAGTGGGAATTACAGACAGCCTGCACTGGGAAGACACCAAATAAGAAAGGTAGAAGTACTGAAGTAGCAGTTTTGCACTCCAAAGAGTTGAGTGAATGGGTGAACTCTTTTGCTGTCCCCTTAAAAACTGGAGCCCACTCAATGTGTTTACAAAAATCAAAATTCTTCCTCTTCCTCATTTCCCCCTTTCTCAACCCTTGCACTTCAATGTATATATATTTTAAAAAATTTCTTGTTTGCTAATAATTGTCTTATAAATGTTTTCTTAAAAAAGTCAATTCAGTAAGGAACTAATACATTAAAAGGACAGGGTAACTAGAGATAAACTTTACAAGGAGGAAATGACAAACAGGACTTTAAGTAGGTGGGGCTAGAGGAGACAGTCTAGCTACCAAGTTTAAGAATACTGTGATAACTGACATTTTAAAAGAATGAAACCAAAAAATGGGACAAAGGAAAAGTGTTGCACGCAGCTTCATTTGGAATCGGACTTCATATTTAATGGCAATACGAGGATATTAAATTGACTATGGAATCTGATCTGTTAGCCAATTATTTATTTTATTGCTTCTACCAACCAGTGAAAATCAACATGTAATTTCTTTGTCTTAACTGTATTTACTTTTCTCTTGATTTGTCTACGTCTCTAGTTTTTAACTTAACATTGAAAATTACCTTAACAATCTCATCAAGGAGTCCGCCACCGCCCTGCCCCGCCCCCCCCGCCCCCTTTCAAGGAGTAGATACTGGACAAGGGCTACAAGATGATGGTGGGGCCCTGGCTCTGCTTGACCACCAGCACGTCCACATTCGTCTGCCTGTCCACAGATTAAGGCCTGCCTGGCACTCACAGGGACAAATGGAAAGAACGTCAGAGGGAGGCAGGCTGCCAAGCAGGGTCCCTGTGCACCCAAACTGACCACAGGGAAGCTGGGCCAACTGTAGCTATGATGCTGCCTGACATGGGGATGGCAGGGTACCTTGTGCCAAGACCCCTGCCCCATTGGACACCCAGGATACTTAAGGGTCAGTCAACCCTTTCCTCAGTCCGTACCAGCAGAGGTTGGGAGAGAGAAACCTCTGGAATGCAGGAATGGCTCTTTCTTGCTCTCCCAGGAAAGGAATTGGTGTGGGAGAGTAAGGAATGTGATCATCTAGGAACAGTATCAGACAGCAGGCTTCCTTCCCTCTCCCAGCCTCCTGACAGAGGAGCCCAAGGACCCTAGAGGAAGTCACTGAGACTACCAAATCTCTTGTCCTTCCTCTTCGTATTCACCGCCCACCCCTGGCAACTCCTCCCTAATTCAGAATTCCATCTCTTTTCTCTAAACCCTGACTACCATTCTCTCCCTCCCCCTAAACTTCCTAACAGGGCTGCGAGGCACAGTTGTGCAGGCTGTACACTATACAAGGACATGTCATCCAAGGCACTGCCACGTGCATCCTGGACCTGAATATCCATTGCAACAGATTTCCATGTCCTGAGGAAGAGGTGCCATCCTCATATTCACAAAGGCTCCTAGGGGCTTACAGTGGACCTGCATCATAAATCCATGTAGAAGGAACCCTACCCTGCTTTCCTTAGGGGTCTCTTTGAAGATAGCAAGGGGACGCTTGACTAGTTTTAACTGGGGAACTGGTTCCTTTCCTGCACAATAACCTCTAACCTGGACACCCCCAGTATTAGGTGGAGAAGAAAAGACAGGGGTGCCTCCACTACGCCTCTGAAAGTCCCCAAACCCTGCCCTCCTAAGAATCTCTGGAAGCAGTACTGTATCTCTCTAAGGCCTGTTCCCACACTAAGTGTATTTACAAATCTCTAAGAATGTGTTTCATATATATACTAAAATATATTCTATTGTGAGAAGTGAAGCCTACACAATATATTGTTTTTAAAGCAAAGAAAGAAAACACAAGACTTAAACAAATCCAAAGACAGTTAAAGTATAAATGTTCTTAACCATGTTAAGCCTCTCATGTGTATGACTATGAAGATCATTCCTTTCAATATGTATTACCTAAAAAGCAGTGGGTTTCCAAGGTTTTTCATTTATCATCTATGAAAGGTCATAAGGAGAAAAAAAACAAACCGATGCTCTGAAGAAAACATCTTGATACAGGGGACTAAACTTGTCATCTCCCATCTCTCCTAAGCATTTGCACTCTATACCAAGATATGGGTGGATGGTCCAGGGATGGTGGCAAGTAGCTAACCCGGGAATTACTTAAAAATGTTCCAAGAATGGTTCTTTTACTCCTCAATTTAGTAGAAAGCTTAAAATATTTTAAAACAGCTAAATCAATGGAATTATTTACTCTTCCCACATGGTGGTAAAAATGATGTTCAAATATTCACCCTATGTTTGGAGTCAGATTAATGGCATGCTTTCATTCTTCTAAGGTGTCTTAAAAATACCTAAAAAAACATATTTAAGTGAACAATGAAATTGCAGAATTCAGACATCCTATTTACAGGGACGGTTCTATTACAAAAGAGTACATTAATGTGAGACAGCCTTAAATCATAAGCTTAACTCTTAAAGTATTAGTATTTTATTTCCAGTATCCTGCTTATTATTGGGTTTAAAAAGGTCCTGTACAATCTGGAGAGGAAGGGCTCCTTTTAAAACACATTTACTTTCTTTTAGTGGAGAAACCAATTTTTAATCACTTACACAGTATTTCAGTAAGCCAATGTGGCTTAGCACTCACTCTTATCTTTTGTGCAATCTTGCAAAGTTTCAAGGCATTTCACTACCTTAAGGGATCTGAAAAACAACTACATTCTTATTTAGTTTATTCTACAGATGCTAAAAGCTCCAAAGGCGGTGATGTTTACCAAAATCAGCATTCTGTATTTAATGAAACAGAGGCATTATCTGACAGCAAGATTGTAACAAAATAGATTTCAACCATACTTAGTGCAAGACTAGAGAGTAATTTCAAGGTGCATGGTTATGCAGTTTTCAGAAATCAATTGTGATAAAAGCAGGAAATATCTAAGTTAAAATTTAACTAACTCCTAAAAAAGCTGGAAGTTGGATTTAACTATTATGATTTGTTTCATATTAAAAACATCGGTCAATTCAACTATGTAGAAATAAGTATGCAAAAAGTCTGAAAAAAGAAAACATACTTATATTTAAGTAGATATATTATCTGAAATTCCAGATTATTCAGTCACTTCATTATTATGCTATGGCAGCCAAGTAATCTTTAACTTCTGTTGGAGTAAGTCTCCTAAATCCAGCTTCATTGCAGATTCCAACTTCTATGTTATCTTCTGTCATTTGTCCTTCAAAGCTTTCCTAAAGAGGTAGTAGGACAAAGGGTCAATTTTCCAAGCAGCTATTTATAAAATTGTTTGAAAACAATTGCTAGGTATTGAACTAACCTTTAGAGTTAAGATGGCTGTATGGATGGCATCTTCAAGTTCAAGATCTTCATTATATCTAAAGAAATTTTTTTAAAGTGTGAAATTTTAGTGATGGCAAGATTTGTATTCTTTATCACTACTTTAAAAGTCTACTTTCACAATGAAAGAATCTTTTCTTTTACTTTTCCATAATTTTTTGACTCATGTACTTATAACTTGTTAGTTAAATTTGTGTCTTCTAGGTTGCAACCCCCCCATGATACATCTTCAGGGATATGAACATGTACGGCTAAGCACAATTAATAACAGTGCATCTAAATTCCAAAATCAATCTCCATAATAGTCTATGTGTTTCCCACTGCCAAAGGGGCCCTTTAGAGTAGTGAGAGAAGATCTTCACCCTGAAACCCACAGCAGCCCTTTTCAGCAGGAAGTAGCTAAGAGAATACACCATCCCCTTTTCCTTATGAATCAGGGTGAAGTCTCTCTCAGGGAGGAGTGATAGGGAATGGCAAAGGACACACCGACAAAGGAGATTAATCAGAACTGACTTTGACAAGCACTGTGGCAATTGGACAATTAAAACAGACATTCGGATGGCGGGGAAGAAGAACAAACTGGGGAGGAGGGTAGAGAGAATGGTGCAGCAATGAAGAAATGAAAACCCAAAATTCCTGTAAATGTTCATTAAAACTAATAAAATTTAATAAAATAAATTTTAAAAAAGAACAGAAAAAAAAAGCCTACTTTCTTCTCTCTTTCATGTTGTTGAGTCAGAAGTGACTTACAGCTGAACCCTAAGGATGTTTTCACACTGCAAATAATGCAAGAAAAGACTGATGATCTTTCTCCTGAGGAACAACTAGTGGATTTGAACCACCTGCCTGTGCAAGTATGCACTCACTAGGCCATCAGAACTTCCCTGCTAGCAGTAACAAGAGCAGCTCTAGTGGTCAAAACAACCCAAAGGCAGAAGGTTCAAATTCACTAGCTGCTCAAAGGGAGAAAAGAAGGCAAACTTTCTCCATGTGATTTACAGTCTCTACAAACCTCCTAGAGGGTCACAAATGAGTCAGTTTCAACTCAAGGGCAATGAGCTCAGCAAAAGAATAAAAGATTTTTAATAACACTCTTAAAAATGCTAAGTAACATATTAAATCCTCTCAGTTATCCAGTTGTTCATGTTACCAGTTGGAAATGAACCACAGCTGACTCTCTAGCCGGTTTTCAGAGGCAGTAAATCACATGGGAGAAGACTGCACATCCTATTCTCATTGAGCAGCTAGTGAATTTGAACCACATACCTTTGCCTTAGGAGTACAATTACTTACCATTAAGCCACCAGAGTTCCCTTACCTCACTGAGATTAAAAAAAAACCCCTTCAGGTCTTTACACAGAGCCAGTGGTGGGTGACTCAGTGCAATCTTTTGTTGTTATGTGCCTTAATGTCAGAACCGACTAATAGATGACCCTCCAGAAAGTTTTTAGAAGCAGTAAACTGCACGGGAGGAGACTGCCCATTGTTTTCGTGTGAAGGAGCTCGTGGATTTGAACTATGTACCTTTGGGATTGCAATACAGTTTTTTAGCACTATCTGTCTCAAGGTAAGAAACTATTTGGTGTATAATAAAAAATATAACCTAAAAAAAAAAACCAAAAACCAAAAACCAAACCCTATTGCTTAAGAAAAAAAAAAAAAACCCAACCCTATTGCTCAAGAAAAAAATAATATATAACCTCAAAACGTTTATTTTCATTTTAGGATATATCTTTAACAAAAATAAAACACACACAAAAAAACCCAACACACCAAAAGAGAGTCAAGAAATCTGGTTTTGGGTAAAATTTCTTTAGCAAAACTTTTTAACCAGAAAAGAAAACATGCTAAGATTCTAAAATTCTTTTTCTATTTTACACCTGGCCCCAAATTTTTAATGTCAACAAGTTTAATTTACTGGTTAATGTCACAGTATTTCCATATTCAAAAATTCAGGCATTTTCTGGTATACTTTTACTAATGCTAAATCTAGGAAACTGCTAGTGAGAAGTCTGCCACACTAGGATATTAACAGCAGATCTCTGTAATCCTCCTACTCTTACCAAGCATATATATTATGAATTTAGTCTACCATCAATGCAAGTGCTAGAATTTCATTTAAATTTCTCATTAAAAGTATTTATATCAATGACTTCAAACTCAATGTTTATATTTTTTTGAGACAGTAGGTATGTGTGGTCCATTGAGCTAATTGTTAAAAATGGCTTTATAAGCCCATGTGCTGACTTCTACCACATGGCTGGGTGGGCCTATGCTAATGACGTGAATAGTACCTTTTCTGTGGGAACATCCAAGTAAGGTGTATAAACCACTAATGAGGGGATTTGTTAGTCTTGCTATCCCACTAGGAATTGGGCCTATTTAGAGACAGAAATAGGTAATCATCAGTAAGAAAGAATCAAAGTTCAGTGAGCATCTATTTGCACCAGAAACTTCTGTACAACTCAGATCAGGACACAGATGAGAAAACCAAAGCAAAGAACTAAAGACTGACATGAGACAGTTGTTCTGAGACTGCCAACCCACAAAGTTGCTAGAGAACATGATAAAGACATCATAATTGGCAGGACTAAGAGAGCTTTCTAACACTGACCTAAAGCTGAGAGGCTGGAGGTGAAAGAGTCTACAGTAAGAGTACACCTGAAGCAAACATCAAATGCTGGCAAAGTTGCAGAGAAACTGGAACCTTTATTCACTGCTCAAATATTGCACCCACTATGGAAGGCAGTATGGCACTTTCTCAAAAAGTTGCAAATAGAAATACCAATTGACCCAGCAATTCTCTACTGGGAATATACCCTAAAGAAACCATAACTGCCACCCAGGCAGATATATGCATGCCCTTGTTTACTGCAGCTTTGTTCACAATAGCAAAGAGCTGGAAACAACCTAAGTGCCCATCAGCAAACGAATGGATAGAGCAGCTCTGGTATATTCACACAATGGAATACTATGCTACATTGAAAAACAAGTAACTCATGCAATATTATTCAAAATGGGTGACCCTGGAGTACATTATGCTGAGTGAAATATCTTGGTCACAGAAGAACAGATACTGCACAGTGCCACTATTGTAGAACGGGACTAACATCAGGGCTGGGGTGAGACTGAGAAAAACTGGATAAATTATGTATACTGCACTGAAACAGATGAGGAAGAGAACAGTTTAAAAGCGATATATGATTGGGTATTATGGTTATAAGAAGAATCCAGAATGAAGGCTGCATAGTGGAGTATACTCAGGGGTGTGTGTGTGTGTGTCTGTGTGTGTGTGTGGAGGGATTGTATACAAATGAAAGAATTTTCTTTTACTTTTCAAAGAGAAGAGTGAACTGGGGGGGAGGGGTGGACAGGGAGAAAAATGCAACAATGAATGAATGGAAATCTAAAATCTCTGTAGATGTTCATTAAAACTAATTTTTTTTTTTAAAAAAGAGTACACTTGAGAGGTCGTCTTGACTAAATAACTGTACCCTGTTACTAACTTGAGTTGTAACTTTCCCAAACAAATCCCATAAATATAAGAAGAGTTCTGTGTGACCACTATGATGGCGAGTGGACCTAGTAAGTAGAAGGAAAAGAGGCCCAGGAGTGATAGTTGTGTAGGAGCATGTCTGATCTCATAGAAATTGGTTTTGTTTTGGAATTGTTGTTGTTGTTGTTATGTGCCGTCGAGTCGTTTGCGACTCATAGCGACCCTATGTACAACAGCCCTAAACCCTGCTCTATCCCAATTACCCCAGTTACTGAATCAATCCACCTCACAGAGGGCCTCCCCCTCCTGCGCTGTCCCTCTACCCTACCAAGCATGATGTCCCTCTCCAAGGACCTGTCTCTCCTTACAACATGTCCAAAGTATGTCAGGCGAAGCCCCAGAATCCTTGCCTCCAGGAGTAGCCTGGTTTAACCCTCTCCAGGATAGATCTGTTTGTTTTCTTGGCAGTCCATGGAACATTCAATACTCTTCTCCAGCAGCACAGCTCAAAGGCGTCAATTTTCCTTCTATCCTCCCTAGTCATTGTCCCACTCTCTGATACATAACAAGTGATTGCAAAGACCATGGCCTGTATCAGGCGCACCTTAGTCTACAGAGAGACACCTTGGCCAGCCTCACAACTACTCTTTTTACAATAAAAAAAATAACAATTAAAAGAGGAGGGGGAGTGAGGAAACAACTACAAGGTTGGTCAAAGGAAAATCCTTCAAAAAAATTTAAATTAATTCAATAATATAATTTTAATATACTGAAAGCAAAGACAAGGGAGAAAGAATTCTGTTGTTTACTTTAAATGTGGTTAGTTTCAAACACAAAAAGAAAAAATTTGTTGCAACTTATGACATTAATGAATTTAGGGTTAGTAAAAAATCATAAATGCAGCTTATTAATTCATTTAATGATAGTGAGTTTACCTTTTCTCCAGGAAAGTTTTTCCATTCACATAGTTCTTTCCCATTGCTGTCGCTTTCCAGGCAAAATAAGCTCCCTAATCAGAACAAAAAGAGTATTTTAAAACATTATTTTCATTATACAAAATGGGTGACCCTGGAGGACATTATGCTGAGTGAAATATCTCAGTCACAAAAGGACAAATACTGCATAGGGCCACTGTAAAATGGGACCGACATCAGGGTTGGGGGGGAGACTGAGAAAGACAGGATAAATTATGTATACTGCATTTAAACAGATGAAGGAGAGAACTGTTTATATATAATTAGGTATTATCATGACAGGAGTCCAGAATGAAGGCTTCATAGTGGAGTGGACTTATGGGGAGGGATTGTATAATAATAAAGAATTTTTCTTTTACTTTTCAAAGAGAAGAGCAAACGAGGGGGAGGCTGGGCAGGGAAAAAAGTGCAACAATGAATGAATGGAAATCCAAAGTCTCTGTAAACTTGCATTAAAAGTAATAACAATAATAAAGAAAGAAAAAACAAAAAAAAATTTTCTGTTACTTGTATCTACTGAAGTGCATGAAATTTTATATGCAATTTATGTCCATGAATTATTAAAACTATGTACTATTTATGAACATAAACTTCAAAAAAAGTTAAAGGAAACTGAGGTCAATGTAAAACAATTAAGAGTAATACTTTAGCCTAATAGACAGAATGGACCTCAAAATTGGTTGAGAATGGTGAGCTAGTCATCCTCATCCTAAACAAAAGAAAAAGATAGCTTATAGCAAATACTCAATACATTTTTATACATAAAAAATTTTTATTTTATATTGGTTTGCTTACAAAGTTCATATACATTGTGTTTATACCATCCATCATTCATATTGTGTTTCATACAATCATTCCCATTCGTTATATGCTATGAAATTAATCAACATAGAACTATGCCCACCATTGCCCCGTCTTTCCAGATTCCCACAAGATCTCTCCCATTTCCTTTACCCACCCCCCTTCCTCCACCCATCAGATTGTGAGATACCCAACCCCCACCCCTCTGCTCCTACTCTCCTGCCCTTGGATCCTTATACACATTTTACTAGTTATCCATTTCTACAATAATGGTCTTCTTCAGAATTTGTCCTTATGAGACTGAATTAGTTCATTTAACATACTGCTTTCCAGTGAAGCTTTTGGTATTATATAACTCAATGTTAAAATGAAAGTAGTAGCAATACAGCATATATAAGATGGCTCATCTGTTAAAAAATAGGCACAAATAAATACTACAAGAAGCATAACTAGTATAATGCAAAATAGTACTTTTTTTCAGATACAACAGTGGGAAAAAAGTAATGGTGGTGTAAAACCTGAAGAGTAGTTACAGTTACTGCTACAATGAACAGAGTTTACCATGTTGTTGCTATAATGTGTTGTGAGTTGACTACAACTTGTAGCAACCCTATGAACAAACCTTGTTCTATATATCCTGAGCCAGCCAACCTCACTGTCTCTGACACATCTGACACCAATGCCAGTCACTGTTGTCAATCCATCTCATCCAGGGTCTTCTCCTCTGCTGTCTACCTACCTTTCTAAGCATGTTATCTTTCTCTAAGGACTGACTTCTCCTTACAACAAGCCAAAAGTATATGAGATAGAGCTTAAAAATCCTTGCCTCCAAGGAGCTACCTGATTTCAACTTTATTAGGGCAGACCTATTTCTCTGTCACTAGTTTATGGTATGTTCAAAGGTATCAATTCTTTTTCTGTCATCATTATTCACCATCTAGCTCAGATGCATAACAAGCAACTGAGAAGATGATAGCCTAGAGCTGTTGCATCAGTCTCTAGACTATGCTCATTGTTTCTCAGCACTTTGGAAAGGTCCGAAACATCAGATTTTCCCAATGCTAGTGCCACAGGTGCTGACTGTGGATTTAAGCAAACAAAACCATTAACGATCTCAATCTTTTCTCCATTTATCACAATGTTGCCTATTAGCGCCTAGTGAGGATGTTTTCTTGATGTTGAGATGTAATCCATATTGAAGGCTACAATTCTTGATCTTCTTTAGAAAATGACTCGTCTTTCTCAATTTCTGCGAGCAAGGTTGTGTCGTCTGCATAGAGCACGTTGTTGATGAGTCTTCCTTTAATCTTGATGCCACATTCTACTTATAAAGTCCAGAGCCTCTTGAGTGATCGTTCAACATACAAACTGAAAAGCATATAGAAAAAGGATATTCCCGACATACTCCTTTCTGAATTTTGAACCATGCAGTGTTATATAATCTCTTTTAGCCAAGATCCATATGTTCCTAGTGTCACAACCTTGTCTAAACCTAGCTTGTATTTCTGGAAGTCCTCTGTTAATGTACTGATCTGTTTTTATAAAATCTTCAGTAAGAGTTTGCTTGCATGTGATATTGTTTGGTAATTTTGACATTCTGTTGGACCATCTTTTTTAGGCATAAGAATAAAATGTTTCTTTCAATCAGTTGGCCAGGCACCTGTGCTCCAGATTTTGTGGCACAACCTGGTAAGCACATCCAGAGATGATTCTGTTTTTTTTAAATATGTCAATTAGTTTTCCATCAGTACCTGGGGTCTTATTTTTTTCCCAATTCCTTCAGAAGAACTTGAATTTCTTCCTTTACTACCATTGGTTCTTGATCATATGCTACTTCTTGAAATGGTTCTGTCAGCCAACTCTTTTTGGTATAGTGACTCCATGTATTCCTTCCTTCCTTCTTTTGATGCCTCCTGGATCATTCAAGATTTTACCCATGGAATCTTTAAGTATTGCAACTCGTGGGTTGGATTTGTTCTTCAGCTTGAGAAATACTGAGCATATTTGTCCCTTTTGATATTTTTACTCCAGCTCTTTGTACATTTTGTTGTAATGCTATATTCTTTACAAGCTACCCTTTGAAATCTTCCATGCAACTCTAACTTCTTTGCTCCCCGTTTTACCATAAAATTTCATAAGATCAAAGACAGAATAAGAGATACCATCCACAATACGTAACTTTCCTGACTTAAATAACAATCAACAACAACAAAAAAAAATAAGTCTTTTACCCTTTTTAGATTATATATAATCATGGTGGCATAAAAGGTTAAATGTTGGGATGTTGACCAAGTTGGAACCCAACAGCGACACTAAGGGACAAAAATGAGGAAGTGTGCATGTTGAGATTTAAAGTCTCAGAACCTTAAAGGTATAGTCCTACAGGATGCCTGTGAATCAGAATCTAATAAATGACTATGGATTTCTGACTAACATTTCATCATAAAGTTTAAATTGTAGTGAAATTGATAATTACATAATGATTCACCAACATTTTAATCTGATGTATCATAAAGAATCAACTCCTAATTTTATTTAAGAGTCTCTTCATTGCATATAGAACACATAAAGAATATTATGATTCCTCTATGAATGCCCTTTAACTCTGGATACCAATCTTCTGCCCTCTAGCAGACAACTTCCTCAAGATACTGGTTATATGATTGATAATTTTGCAAAACACAATTCAGTTTTATATAACGCTTTTGTCCGAAGAGTCCCACTTTCAAATTAGGCTCAACATACACAGATCTTTACTTGCAGTACTCTGCAAAGTAAAAAAATTTTATCAATGTAAAGTCGTTTGGTAGTAATTATTTCAATAATTACATAAGTACATAAAGTTACTATACAGGGCAGCAAAGCAGAACGATTCTTCGTGGCACAAGTAATGCTGCTAGCTTCTTTATCTGATAAAATGAAAGATCATATAATAAAAGAAATATAGCTAAATTTTAAATTATGCCCATTTTTATTAAACAAAGAACATGTTAAAAAAACTCCTCAAACACATGATACTTACAGAAGGATCTGACTGAAATAAGTAAGGTCGTCCTTCATTCCAACCACAAATAAGTAGAGAAACTCCAAATGGACGCACACCACTAAGTAAAAGAAAATGAAAATTATTTAGGCTCTTCATTGTATTAAAGTCATCACAAAGTAAGAATTCATCAATGTTGTTGTTGTTAAGTACCATCGAATCAGAAATGACCCATAGTAGCTGACCCTGCAGTGGGTTTCAGAGGCAGTAAATCACTTGGGAGGAGACTATCCAACCTCTCATGGAACAACTGGAGGATGTGAACCAAGAGTCTTTGGATTAGCAGCACATCTCCTTACCCCTACGGCAAATTCAATCAGACTTTCTTTTTTTCTTCTTTTATGAGGGTGAATTGTAATAATAGATTAGAAAGTTACATCCTCAAAGTGAAGGACCTTCCTCCTTGAAAGAAAAAAGGTCTTCCTTTTTTAATTACTTTTCTTATAGAGACAAAAATTGGAATGATTTTTCTGAATTACTTCATTCTTTAAAGTATTGAACAAGAGCTAATTAATTTCAGATGATATGGGTTGATTCTTTAAAAAAAATCAGGGTTAATAAGTATAGTGTAGCATTTTATGTCCTAACAAAATGACAACTTTTAACCAATGTGGCTTTTCCATCAGGTACTTTTTTTAAAAAAGTATCAACAACCATCTTTAAGCAAACAAATCCACGTCCACAGCCAACCTTAAGAATGTTGGAATTAAAATGAATTATGATTGTCAAAGTGGTGGTGGTTGTTGTTGAGTCGCAGACAACTCAAAGCAACCCTATGAAAGAAAGACCTGAACACTTGTATAACTTTCATAATTTCTCCACGTTCAGAGCTTCTGAAGGCAAGCTATTTTGGATGTGGATGCCACTACAAAGTACTACTGCTTATAATCATTTCTGATTGGTAAGTTTTTTATTCACTTTCAAAAGAAGTTCCTTTTTTTCATTAGCTACTTTGTTGCTGTTAAATGACAGGCAGAAATATTTTCAGTTTAAGGAAAATATACTGGATCCAGCTAAGATCTCAAACATTCATTAGAGTTAACTTCCTTATTTGTTACTTAAGTATGGATGTAGAAAAACCCTTCTATTTATAACATCTATTATAAATTTTTTTCTAATTTATATTTCCATTTCTTTTCAATCTTTTTAAATTCCTAATTTACAAAGCATGCCAAGTAAAAACTTACCCTGACTGGGTGTATTCCTGCATCACAGAAGCTACCCTCTGAACAAGCTGTGCTGTGGGAATGGGCTCTTGGTAAACAAGATAATACTGCTGAGCTAGCTTCCGAGCTCTGTGTACAAGTACTCTAAAAAGAAGAAAACAAGATTCAATTAAGACCTTATACTACCTGAAAAATTAATTTTCTTTCTTTAGTCATGATTCTACCTATAGCATAAATTTCACACATAACGTGTTAACAATAGCTATCAGCTCAAAGTCACTTTTGCTCTCAAACCGTAGTTGATTTAGATGAGACTATTACAGTACAGGAGCTAAACCAGAGGAGAACAGTAAAAACAAAGTAATTAGGGGACTGCAGTGAATTACTTTAATATGGCCTGCCTAGCTATAGTCTTCAATTTTGTAATTTACTGTAAATCTCAGCCTCTATATAAGTAGTTATCCAAGTTTTACGGTATGAAATTATCCTTCTAATAACTCTCTATAACTTCTTCAAAGCTGTCTTCTTTATTCTCAAGGGTTACTGTAGGTGCTGTCACTTATGACTCAGAGCGACCCTATGAACAAAAGATCTGAATTCCATCCTATATCCTGTGCCATCTTCATACTTTCTGAGTCCATTAAGGCAGTCCCATGTCAATCTACTTGGGTGAGGGTCTTCCTCTCCTTCACCAACCCTCCACCCTTGCAAGCATCATGCCCTCTCCAAGGAATAGCCCCCTTGTAGTAATATGCCCAAAGTATGATGTGAGGCAAAGCCTCATCATCCTTACCTCCAAAGAGCACTCTTGCTGCACCCTCTCCAAGGCATATTTGTTTGATCTTTTGGCAGTCCATAGGATGTTCAGTGCTATTCTCCAATACCGTAACTGAAAGGCATCAATTCTTTGGACATCCTATTCATTGTCCAGCTCTCAGATGAATAGCAAGTGATCAGAAAGACAATGGCCTGAATCAGATGCCCCTTAGTCTTCAAATTGACATCATTATTCCTCAATAATTTGGAGAGGTACCTAACTGAAGATGTTCCCACTGCGTCTCCTGATTTCCTGACTGCTGGTATCAAATGTGAACCCAACTAACATGACACTGCTGACAGTTTCAGTGTTTTCTACACCCATCATGATACTGACTATCAGTCCAGTGGTAAGAATCTTTGTTTTCTTGACACTGATATGCAGTCCATATTGAAGACTGCATTTGTTGCTCTTCTGCAATAGGTCGTCTTCACTTTTAGCAAGCAAGGGTCTTTCATCTGCATAACACAGGTTATTGACGAAGTCTCCCTTCAATCCTGATGCCACATTCCTCTTCCGAGTCCAGCTTCTTGAATAATCTGCTTACCAACCAGCTCAGCTTTTTTCATCTCACCCTAGGTCATGCACACACTCTCACTCAAACACTCTTAATCTTTCCACAGGCTGCCTTAATCTATAGGCTTGCAATTCAAGAAGTAGCCCTTAGAGATTAAGCAATATCAAGAAAGTGTTCCATAACCCTAAAAAACAAAACTCTCAAAAGATAAAAAAGGTTTACCTTTATCTGCTATCTGCTCAGGCATTACTGATGTAAAATATGTCTTGGCCCTCTAAGCTTGTTTTATCAGTGCTATCACATCACTAGATGCCTCCTCTGCATATGGTGATAATAAAATTCACTGAAGTGAAGCCTGACCACATTCTATTAACTGTCTTGCCTTTTCTAGCTCATGTGAATTTTTGCCTTTGTATCTCTTGATCCATAAAAATTAATAGTATTTTTTTACTTTTACTTGTTAAATGATAATCACAGAAGCTATCATTGCTTTCAATTTGATGATACCCAAATGTAACAATACATCATCAATATCTAGTTTTGATTATTCTAAATTTTAAGTTGGATAATTCTTTTTTCCTATTTTAAAAAATGTTAAGTTTGCATAGTCATTCATGTACTTTGTGTTTTATATAACCGATTACTATTTACCAATACTTTTTTTTTGTATTTTTTTACTTAATAATTTAATGAACATTTACATACCAATACCTTTTTAAAGTCTACTTTGGTGGTTTCGTTTTTATGAGCCATCAAGTTGCTTGCAACTTACAGCGACCCTATGTTCTAGAGCCCTAAAAGCTGTGCTATCCTGCGCCAACCTCGCCTTCCCAAATACACTCATTCTCACCACTCCACTCACAGAATCGATCCATCTAATAGAGGAACTACCTCTCCTGCGCCATCCCTCCTCTCTCCTAAACATGATGTTCCTCTCCAAGGACCAGTCCCTCCTTGCAACATACCCATAGTATGTCAGACCAAGCTTCAGAATCCTTGACTCGAAGGAGCATTCCGGCTTCACCTTTTCCACAACAAACTTGTTTGTACTCCTAGCAGTCCATGGTTTATTCAACACTCTTCTCCAGCACCACAGCTCAAAGGCATCAGTTCTCTTTCTATCAGCCCTATTCACTGTCCAACTCTAGGATGCACAACATGGAACTGAGAAGACTACAGCCTGGATCAGGCGAGCCTTAGTCTCCAGCCTGACATCGTTGCTCTTCAGTACTCTTGAGAGGTCCCTGACAGCTGACTTTCCCAATGCAATTCATCTCCTGATTTCCTGGCTGCTGTTAACAAGAGTGTTGAATGTGGAACCAAGTAAACTAAAACTGTTAACTATCCCAATCTCTTCACCACCCATACTGATGCTGCCAATTGGGGTTTAGTGAGTAGGAATTGTGCTAACCTAGAGGCAGCTGGATCACTTTTTTCCCCCCTACTAGTTTATTTTAAAAAATTCAAATACAAATTTGAACAAATTCTTTCAATTTCCCTCACCCCCCATCAAATTTTATAACCCAATGATTAATCCCCACTTCTCCCTGTACATCCACATCCCTCTGCATCCAGCCTCTCTCACCCCTCCTGGATCCTTATACTCTATAATAACAGTATTATATATTTATCCTTATGGGACTGAGTTAGTTCACTCAGCATAATGCTCTCCAGTCCCTCCCAAATTAGGTAATAATTTACAAAATTTTGCTCCTGTGTGAATGTACCACAACTTCCCAATCCATTCGTTTGTGGCTGGACATTTGGGCTGTTTTCCATGCTTCTGCAATGGTGAATAATGCTGCTATGAACATAGGTGTACAAATCTGTTTGTGCCTCAGCTTTCATATTCTCAGGGTATATTCCAAATAGTGGAATAGCTGGGTCATATGGACTTTCCATGTTCAGCTTTTTTTTTGTTTACATTTATTATTATTCATTTTAATGAACATTTACAGAGACTTTAGATTTCCATTCATTCACTGATGCACTTTTCTCCCTGCCAACCCCTCCCCCTGTTCAGCTTTTTGAGGAAAAGCCAAAATGCCTTCCAGAACGGTTGCACCATTTTACAATCCCACCAATAATGTAAAAGAGTTCCCCTCTTGCCACATCCTCTCCAACTTGCTGCCCTATTAAACTTTGCCACTCTTACTAGAGTGAGATGGTACCTCATTGTGGTTTTGATTTGCACCTCTCCTACTGCCAGTGATTTGGAGCATTTTTTCATTTGTCTGTTTGCCTTTCAAATATCTTACTCTGTAAAAATTCTTTACATGTCTTTTGCCCATTTTGTAATAGGGTTATCAGTCTTTTTCTTGTGGAGACCCAGGAACATTCTGTAAACTTTTGTTGTAAGACTCTTGTCTAAGATGAAATTACCAAATGTTTGTTCTCAGTCTGTAGGTTTTTTCTTTTCAAGTTTTTGATGTGAACAGAGATTTAATCATTCCCATCTGTCAATCTTTAGCTTGTGCATTACTAGTTGTATTTGGCAGTCTCTTTTTACCTTGGATTAAGTTTCTAAGCTTGAACCCAGTTTGTCTCTTAAGAACACTATGGTTTGGGGCTTTACTCCCACGTCTCTGATCCACCTTGAACTGATTTTTGTGTATGGTGTGAGATGTGGATCCTGTTTCAGCTTTCTGCAAGTGGAAGTCCAGTTTTGCCAGCACCATTTGTTGAAGAGGTTATCATTTCCCCATTTGATATCTTTGATTTCCTTGTTGAATTATCCGTTGACCATAGATAGCTGGGGCTATTTCTGGGTTCTCAATTCTGTTCCATTGGTCAATGTGCCTGTCACTGTACCAGTACCATGCTGTTTTGGTTACCACTACTGTATACTAGGGTTTGAGATAAGGGAGTGCTATGACACCAACCTCATTTTTGTTTCTCAGAAGTGTTTTGCGTATTTGGCGTCTCTTGTCTCTCCAAATAAATTTGATAATTTCCCTTTCAATCCTTGAAAACTGAATTTGGTACCTGGATTGGTATTACACTGAACATGTAGACTGCTTTTGGTAGGATTGTCATCTTCACCATATTGAGTCTTCCTATCCATGAACAGGGCACATTTTTCCATTTCTCTAGGTCTTTTATTGTGTCTTTCAGAAATGCTCTATAGTTTTCTTTGTATAGTTCTCTTGTTTCTCTAGTTACGACACATTCCCAAGTATCTCAATTTGTGGTTGGCTATTGTAAATGGTGCTGCTTTCTTTATTTCCATCTCTGAATTTTCTTTGTTACTGTAGAGGAATCATACTGATTTTTGGATATTGATATTGTATCCTGCCACTCTACTAAACTGGCCTAAAACCAAAAGCCAACATAATTCTCAATGGAGAAAGACCAAAAACATTTTCCTTGCAAACAGGGACCAGACAAGGATGTCCACAGTCACCACTTCTTTTCAATACTGTATTGAAAGTGCGATGGGAAAGTCTGCTGTTAGGGACCTCTACAAAGTACTGAAGAGCAATGGTGTCACTCTGGAGACTAAGGTGTGCCTGATACAGGTTATGGTCTTTGCAATCACTTTTTATGTGTCAGAAAGTTGGACAATGTCTAGGGTGGATAGAAGGAGAATTGCCTTTGAGCTGTAGTGCTGGAGAAGAGTACTGAGTGTACCATGGACTGCTAAGAAAACAGATTCATCCTGGAGAGGGTTAAACCGGGCTGCTCCCTGGAGGCAAGGATTCTGGGGCTTCATCTGACATACTCTGGACATGTTGTAAGGAGGGACCGGTCCTTGGAGAGGGACATCATGCTTGGGAGGGTAGAGGGACAGCGCAGGAGGGGAAGGCCCTCTATGAGGTGGATTGATTCAGTGACTGGGATAAATGGGATGAGTGTGCCAGAGGCAGTGCGACTGGCACAAGACAGAGCAAGGTTTAGGGTTGGTGTACATAGGGTAGCTATGAGTCCCAAGCGATTCAACGACACATAACAACAACAACATTGGAAGTGCTTGCTAGGGCAATACAACAAGAGAAGGAAATGAATCCAGGTTGGCAAAGAAATTGTTAAACTGTCACTATATGCAGATGATATTAAAAGTGTACACAGTTGATTCACTTTTTAAGAGCGCTTTGACCCCTCCTCCCTTTGAAACTAAGAGAGAAGGATTATGAAAGCATCTAGATCCTGAAAGACTCAGCAAACCTCACTGGGTTCTGAGAACTCTATCCGTTTAGAAACAACAGTAGCAACAGAGAGTTCACTCTCAGTAGTGACACTTCCTCTGTAGTATAGACAAGTAGGCAATCTACTCTCATTAAGGTTTACAACCTTGGAAACTCAATGGAAGGTTGCCAAGAGTCAGAATTAAGCCTATAGCAGAGGTTGGAGCATATATTACCTTCAAATGCATTGCTAACATTTATGTACCCTAAAATGCTGGTGGTTCAAATTCATAAGCTGTTCCATAACAAAAAGGGTGACAGACTGTTTTAGAAGCCCTGCAAACAGTTCTACCCAAACTGTGCTGCCAACACAAAGATACCTGGTTCAAATCCACCTCGGGCTCTGCAGCAAAGATGGGCCATCTCTTCCTGTGTGATTTACTGGCTATGAAAACTCACTGGAGTGTCAGCTATGGGTTGGTTCTGACTCAATGGTACACAACAAGTATGAGTTAACATAGGCTCAATAGTACAAGAGTTAAGTTTGACAGGAATCCCAAGGTCTCTTCTTTCTTAATGGCTAATTGGTTTCAAAAGCCAACCTTATGGTTAGGAGTCAAGTGCTAAACTATTGTGCCCACAAGACTCCTTGTAAACTTTAAGTAAAGCCCTAGAATGGCAAGGAGCAGATTATGATCAAGTAGGAAAGATAAGAGGATTAAGTATTGTACCTAATGACTCTTCTACAATTTAGTGGAATGGAGTTAGTAGTCTTAAAAACCTTTAATCAGTAACCTTCAGTGTTACTAAACCTTTGTCTGTAACTGAAAAACAAACTGAAAACAGGATGCTATTTCCAAAGAAAATACAAAAGAGTATTTGGAAAATATTTCTTTTTCTCCTCAAATTATAAGTTAGGTAAAAATTATTAGTAAAAAAAAAAAACAAAAAAAAAACCACCCCAAAAAACCCAAACAAACAAAAACAGATGTTACAAAGTACCTGTAATCTGGGCCCATGCCACTGTACACCAAACCAATATGCTTAGTGATTGGTTCCACTTTGTGTACACTTCGCTCATCATACAGAATGGATTTCTGTTTCTTTTCAGTTGCTAACACCACACCATTTGCAGCTTAAAAATAAGAAAAAAACAGACTTCTAAATGTTTACTCATTCAAAGGCTTTTCTTGGTTCACAGTGTCTAACAACACACTGTTCTTTCCTCCAGTTTACAAACTATTTCTGCTAGATAATTATATCACAATTACCTAAGGAATGGTAAATCAATTTTTCCTTCATTGGCATTATTATTATATTAAGCAATTTCTACAGCTTAAAATGTAACACAACTTTTATTTTTTAACATATTATATTTAAACTACTTAAAATACCTAAGAATCTATATAATTCAAAAAGTTCCACCTACTGGAAAAATTAACTTTAACAATTGGAAAAATGCATTCCTCTTCTTATAATAAACTAATGATGCAGATTTAAAAAAGACATTAAGTTATATGAAATTACACTGTATTTAGAATAAGTTTCGTAACTAGTCTTTCCTAAACTGTAACTAAGTTATTTCCAGCTTACAGTGATCCTTTAGAACAGAACAGATCTGCCTGTATGATTTCCAAGGCTGTTATTTTTATGGAAACAGCCTTTTTCCCAAAGAGTAGCTACTGTGTTTAAACTAGTAACTCTGCTCAACAACTGGATGCTTTAACTACAGAGTCCTCTCTAAACTGTGGCCACTGTGTACCCCTTAAACAACTCACAGCTGAACCTCTGGTATTAAGAGGCTGTAAACTGCAAGAGAGGAGACTGGCTATCTTTCCGCCCGAGAGCAGCTGGAAGTATTTGAACTGCATGCCTTTTAGATGGCAGCACAACTTCTTACAGGAAAGATAAAATTCTAAATTGAGAGTCCAACTGTAGTGATACAATCAGTGGAAAAGCAAAAGAATAATCACTTTCTGAATGGGAAACTTATTTGAGAGTTATCATAATTATGATAAAAAAAGTGTTGTATTAACTTTGAAAAATATTTTCGCCAGTATCTTACATATCTTATTTCCTTTAAACTTCAAAATACTATTTACTAATGAACGTAAAAATTATACTGCCACAACTTTGTATTTACAAATTAATTTTTAATTAAACCCAAAGAAAATTAGGGAACATGGTGGCTTAGTGGCAAGGAGCTGTGCTCCTAATCCAAAGGCTCAAAGCCATCAGCTTCTCAGGGGAGAAAGACGGGCAATCTCTTCTCATGGGCTTTACTGCTTCCAGAGTGTTAGAAATGGGTCAGTTTCAACTTGACAGTACTTAACAACAAGCAAACATCTACTATTGATGAAACATTTAATAAACTTTTATATGTAAATATCCAAAATCTAATTACCTTTAATTCCCACTGAAGGAGCGCCTCCAGCTACAGCAGCCAAAGCATATTCAATCTGGACAAGTTTTCCAGATGGGCTTTAATTAAAAAAAAAAAAGGTATTAGGTACATCTTTAAGAAAGTGCAGATATAGACATCAAATCCCATTAATTAAACATCAAGGGAATAACAACTGGGCTTTAAAACAAAGTTTACAAGGTATTTGAACATACTCATAATGAAGCACTCATTTTCTTTTCTTCTGAATGTTGTCTATCTTTTCACCACTTACCCACTTTTGGAAAGATGCTTATGTCTTTGTCCTCATCTACAAAGTGAATGGGGATACTAGTACTATGATTACCTATTTTAAAGTTTGTTAAGATTAAATAATTACGTGACTATAAAAACAACTAAGACAGTTCTTTGAAGAAAAAAATTTTTAGAATGAGATAGGCATGTCCTATCTCCTGTCTACTACTAAACAAATATCAAGGTACATGGTTTGTCTTCATAGTATAAAGGACACGCTGTTTGTCTCTAGGGTTTCCTGTCATCCCACTGAGCTCCAGAGATCATTCTTAGACTTCAAAAGCACAAAACAAGCTTATGGTTTGGCACTGAACACATTTTGCTCTAAGGCTGAATTCCGTCCTGGCTTGCTTTCCTACACAGACATGTCACATCCTCAGGAAAGATGCTCCTCAGACTAAGTTAAACGCCACACATCTATAACAACTTGTACTTTCTCTCTGGCTAAGATATTTATTTTTTACAATATTCCTCTTCCTCAACAAAGCATAAGCTCTATTCAGTAAGATTCCTGCAAGTAACCTAGTACCAGGAGTTCACAATTATAGTAGTAATTGATGTTAAGTCAAAATCTAATCATAGCTGAACCTCCAGTGGATTTTCAGAAACTGTAAACTGCAAAGGAGAAGACTGCCCATTTGTCTCCCATAATTGTTGGTAGTTTCGAACTGGGTACCTCTGGGTTGGCAGCTCAATCTTATCTACTAGGTCAACAAAGTTCCCTTGCAGTAATGTTGTAAAGTGCTGTTGAGTCACTCAAAACTCACAGCAACCCTTTATACAACTCTGAACTCTGTTCTATCCTGTGACAAGCCTATCATCTCTGACACTCACCCCCACCTCAGTCACTGAGTCAACTCATCTCATCCAGTGTCTTCCTCTCTTGTGCTGTCCCCTGCCCCCTTCCAAGCATGATGTTCCTCTCCAAGGATTGGTCCTTCATCGCAACACACCCAAAGTATGTCAGACAGAGCTTTAAAATCCTTGTCTCCAAGGAGCACCCTGGTTTCACCCACTCCAGGACAAACTTTTTTGTTCTCCTAGCAGTCCATTCAATGCTCTTCTCCAGCACTACAACTTAAAGGCATCGATTCTTCTAGCATCTTTAGTGATTATCCAGCTTTCTGATGCATAGCAAGTAACTGTGAATGTTTTGGCCTAGATCAAGAGCACTTTAGTGTCCAGGCTGACACTGTTTTTTAGTACTCTGGAGAGGTCCCTGGCAGCAGCCTTTTCCAATGCAATTATCTTTTGAGTTTCTGGCTGCTGGTACCAAGAGTGTTGTTGTTGTTATGTGCCGTCGAGTCATTTACTACTCAGCCGTAAACCCTGCTCTATCCTGTGCCAATCGCACTGCCTCTGACACACCCATTCCGATTACCCCAGTCACTGAATCAATCCATCTCACAGAGGGTCTTCCCCTCTTGCGCCGTCCCTCCACCCTCCTAAGCATGACGTCCCTCTCCAAGGACCTGTCCCTCCCTACAACATGCCCAAAGTATGTCAGACGAAGCTCCACAATCCTTGCCTCCAAGGAGTTGCTTGGTTTAACCCTCTTCAGGATTAATCTGTTTTCTTGGCAGTCCATGGTACATTCAATACTCTTCTCCAGCACCACAGCTCAAAGGCATCAAGTCTCCTTCTGTCCTCCCTAGTCATTGTCCAACTCTCTGATGCATAACAAGTGATTGCAAAGACCATGGCCTGTGTGGAGCCAAGCAAACTGTTCACAATCTCAGTCTCTTCAACATTTAGCATGATGCTGCCAACTGGCCAAGTGATGAGAATCTTTGTCTTCTCTATGTTGAGCTTCAATCCATATTGAAGGCTGCAGTCCTTGAGCGTCTGCAGCAAGGTTGTATCATCTGCATAACATACAGTTTGTTGATGAATCTTTCTCCAACCCTGATGCTACATTCCTCCCCATAGAGCCCAGCCTCCCAGATTATTTGTTCTGCACATAGATTGAAAATAGTATAGGATGCACCCTGACTTTCTCGTTTCCAAATTTTGAACCATACAGTGTCTCACTGCTCTGTTCTGACGAATGCTTCCTGGTCCAAGTACAGGTTTCACATAAGCACAATAAAGTGTTCTGGGATGCCCATTCTTCTCAGTCACAGTTTTTTGTGCTCCACAGTCAAATGCTTTTGCATAGTTAATGAAACACATATAGGCATACCTTTGGTATTCTCTGCTGCTAGTGAAGACTCATCTAACATAAGTTATAATATCCTTAGTACTTAGCCTCTTCTAAACCCAGCCTGTACATCTGGCAGTTCACTGCTGATGTGCTATTCTAATTGTTTTTGAATAATTTTCAGCATTATCCAAATATTATTATAATATCAATGTCTAGTGGTAATATGGACACCTTTTACACTATTAAATCCATAAAGATTAGCACTGCTAAGCCAAAGGCCACGCCTTTCTGAGGATTTGAATCCACCAGCAGTTCCAAGAAAGAATGACGGGTAATATTCTCCCGAGCAATCTGTAGCCTCAGAAACATAATGCAGGGTAAACTATAAGTTGGTGCCAAAATTACAGATTTTTTAAAAATTTTATTTTATTACTTTTAATT